AATAGAATATAAATGTTCTATATTAAAAATTATGTAAAAAACTATTCGATAAATATGTAATTTTTTTAAAAAAAAAATAAAAATCTTACTATTTATATCATTATTAAACTTTATTATAGTTAAAAAATAATATATATGAATATTATAAAAATTATAAAAAAAAATACAACAATGCCTTATATTTGTGATGAAATAATTAAATTGAAGCAAACGAAATCCAAACAAATTTAATATACATCGTAAATTGGAATGAACTGTACAAAACAATCACATAAAAACCCATATAAAAGATCATGCACTAATTGTGTTTACTTTGAAATAAAATAAAATTTGATATAATAATGTTATAATCAAATATTATTAATTTTTCTCTTATAGATAATATTAATATTAAAAAAACTATTTTATCTTTTATTAATACCTAATTTACTACTCCCTCCGTCTCAAACATCCTGCAACATTTTTTTGTATGTCCCAAACATCCTGCAACATTTCCAAAATAGAAAATAATTAATCATACTTAATCCTTTGCCATCACTTTATCCACTCACATCATCTAAATAAAAAAATAAAATATACATTTTTTTTCTCCATCACATCACTTAATTTCTAAATTATCCTACTTAATACTACCCACCTAAAAATTCGTGCCAAAAGTAAATATTGCACTTTGTTTGGAACGGAAGGAGTATTATTTTTTATTGTATAATTAAAAATATTTTTAAACAATTCTTTTAATCCAAACCCTAAGCCCAAACCCTTAATACATATCCCTTGTTCCAAGTCCAATTAGTCTAACCCAAATGTGAGTTTGTTTGATTTTTTTTTGGAGTAGTTTTAGTTATAAATATAAATATAGAAATTAGTTTGGGAGAATTTTAATAGAAGAAGTCAGTTTTCAAGAGAGTGAATCTGCGAGGGAGATGAGACATAGAGGTTGCGTTCTTTTCTGAATTTGACATAAGCTTTTTACTATTCAATTTTTTTTTTTTTTTTTTTAAATATCAAACCACATAGGTACTTTTCTTTTTTATATATATATATATATATTATACTATAATTTTTATTTTATATTCAAAACATCACATCATTATCTATTTATATCAAATCAAACAACTATTAAAATTTAATTTTTCACTATTAAAAAATCAAAACCCAATAACTCAAACCAACAAACAAACACACCGAGAGTGATATCGGTGAGTGTTTTCTGACAAGTTTCGAGCATTTTTCAGTGTCGATTTCGGCGGGTGCCAAAGCTTAGAGTGTTGCATCTACCTCCTACCTCGTGGTTACCTCAGATCATTTCACCACTAAGGGTATGTTGGAATATTAATAACAAATCCGAGACGTGGCGACAAAATCAAATCACCAAATCTGATAACGATTTCGGATATCAGATTCAGATAAATCCGAGCTTCGCGTGGGACACAATTTTCTTGAAGCGAATTCGGCCGCCACCGATCGTCTCCTATGATAGAACGGATTGAACGGAATTGCAGATTCCGCGAACCGAATTAAAAGACAGAGAGATTTTTCTGAGGATATTTTGATTGCAAAAAAAGCTTTTTTTGATATCTGAAAATCCTAAAGGAGAAAAAAAATAAAATCGCTTAAAAAAAAAAGATCATTTATCCAATAATTGACTTCAATTAAAATTAGATTTAATTTATTAGGCTTGGCCCGTGTAGCCCACGGGCCCAAATCTAAGGCCCATCTTTGATATATTATATATATCTTTCAAGCATAGGCCCAAATTCAAGCCATAGAGCCCAAACCCAAACCAATTTTGACATTTATTACTTCATTAGTGATAAGTTAATATAGTGGGTTGATTTTGTTTGTATCCACGTGGGAGACAAAACTCTTCATTTCTCTTATCTTCTCTCCAACGGAGTCTTAGCCTTAATCTCGTCGTCCCTCGCCAGGGGAGGATCGGAGGTTGTTCGGGTCCGATTGGGAAAGAATCGGAGCTATTGGGAGTCGCCGGAGGAGTATATGTTAGAAGTAGTTCAAGCGTTCTGAAGGCCGCCGATCTATTCCCACCCGGGGGTAATGCCGGAGAAGAAAGCCGCCGTCCGTTAGCCGCTCTCAGTGACACCGTCGATCTGCTGGATTTTCTTCCGAGGAGAGCCGCCACCAGAGGAAGTCGCCCCTGCTGTTGCCGGAAGACGCTGCCATTCGCTGCTTGGAATCACCGATGTATTAATATTATTTTGGTTTTATTCGAATTTGTTTTCTCTAATTGATTTGTATAACTTTGTTTACGAGAATAATTTCATTGATCCGGAATATAAATTCACAACAATACTCTTATAAAGTAATCAATTAAAAGAAAATATATTGAATTATTTTAGCAAATAATTATATAATTATCGCATATTATACCGGTAAACTATATTTACTATTTTTATTATTTGATCTTATAATATATATTTAAATTGAACAAATTTAAAATTTTTAATAATATTAAAATATTTATGTGAAATATAGATAAAAATAGGTAATATTATTTTATTACACATAATTACTATACACTTCTTGTATATGTTCAATTAAAGCATGTTTAAAATAAATTTCTTTATTTCTAATTCAAATATACCGTTCTTCTTTTATTATCATATTATGCATAATAATGAACGTAGATATTATATCATACAAAATATTTTTCTATCTTTCCTACATGATTCTTGTTTTTGTGTAAATAATTTTTATTCGGGCCACGCTAGTTGCTAATAGTTTGCACGATAATAGCTAATTTAGGATAGATTTCATCAGCTAAATAATAGTCAATTTTATACTACTTTCCTTGATATAATAATGTGGGCGATGTGCAACATCTAAAGTAAAATTTCTAAACAATGTTAAGTAAAATTTCTAAACAATGTTGAAGAGTTTAAAACATTAATATCATTAATGGTTCCAGGTAAACTAAATTATACATGAAAAATTCAAAGATCACAATATACCGCAACTTCAAGAATTACTGATGGATTTCCACTACCGACTGCATATTGGTTTATCCAAGCGGTTGAACAATTTAATATTCAATATCCAATATTCAATCATCAACTACATCATTTACTAACGTTATATATAATTTAATACCCAACATCCAACTTTCAACCATCAACTATATCATTTACTAAGGTTGTATTTAATTTAACACACAATATCCAAGTATCAACCATCAACTACATCATTTACTAATATTGCATTTAATTTAACACCCAACATCCAACTACATCAATTTATTATCATTTCATTTATTCCAACATCTGTCATCCAACTTTCAACCACTTTATTAATTTTACAACATAAATACTCTTACAAATTTCTCTTATAAATAGTGGCAATAGCCATTTACAACTCACAAATTTCTTCTTTTCCTTCTTGCTTTCATTTCTACATTGCATAACTATAATAATCATGTTTGAGCGATCTATTGACTATAATGATGAGGAAGATAACTTTGGTGATTTTTCTCACCAACGATCAATAGGTGTGAAAAAATCAAAGCTGAAAAGAAAAAAAAAATGAAGAAGTGTGTACGGCTGATTTGCTAAGTTACGTAAGCACAATGCAGAACTTCGGGAAATGACGAGGAACAGTGCCTTTGACAGACAAATATTTTATGCTTAAACAACGAAAAATAGAACTCGAACAAGCTACATAGAAGATAAAATTGTGTCCTTTGACTTGAGCAACATCATTGATTCAGCTACTTATGCTTATTATAAGTGGAAAAAAGAAAAAATTGTGCGCAAAAGGACGAAAAGTCCACCTAAAATTCTTTATCAGGTTTGAGCCAATATTTCAATAGTTTAGATGAAAATCCAAAAGGTTAGATGATTACTAGATATTGAATATTTAATTCAATATTATATTTTTAGATTTATTTCAATAGTTTGGATGAAAATCCAAACAATTTTGGTGATTAGTAAATATTGTATGTTTAATTTCATATTGCATTCTTCGGTTTATTTATTGTTTAATGTTTTTTTTTTTATATATATAATATTATTTATCAAATATTATAATAATTTAAATTTAATATAAATAATTTATAATTATTTTATCATAATTCATTGGTAATCAATCAAAACAATAGTTACTGTGTTTCTGTGCTTCCCTCAAAAGTTAGGGAACTATAATCAAATTTCGAATAAACACAACAGATTACATGTCGAATGAATTTCAATTAAAGGAAAAGAGCATATTAACAAGAAGGTATGTAAAAGAGATAGATGATCATACTTTTCTGTCGACATGAAGCTCCATTTGCAGGAAAGGAATGCTGCAGCAGAAAATGGCGTCCTGCATCACAATCTGCAAAAAACCTTTGTGAAACTAACAGCAGCAAAACAAACTCAGGGTAAGTTTTTGGTAAAAATGGGAAAAAAGAATTGAGACAATCACAATTCATGTCATTCAACAGTTCAATCAAGAAAAACACTTTGCATATGAGGTGTGTCATAACCCCATTTTTATCTCCAAAACAATAAGCAAATTAATACATGTAAATTAATCAAAGTTCCACACTAAAAACTCTCCCAAAACAACTTCAAAGAGATAGCAAGCAACAAACATGTTAAAATGGCACCAAGTATCGAATTTGGAACACAACAGATAGAACATCTTGAAGAAACAAGCAGCACAAATAGAAGAAGAAAGCATATGTAAGTATGTGATCTGTAAGATGAATCAGAAGAAAGATTTTCAAATGAATTACCTGGACTGAACCAAAGCAGAATTCATTATCAAAGATAACAAATTCGGGAGATCAGTCGTGTGTATACCATATTGCAAGCAAGCACAAGTTCGAAACTTCACAACCTATATTACCACACAATTGACATTTTCGACAAATCAATGAGCAAAGAAACACAGTAACAATGACTTCCATGAATCAACAATACCAATTCAATGACGATCAATCAAATAAATAACAAGGCAGTTGGATTTAATATTTGTCAGAAAATGCAAAGTAGTCAAGTAGATACGACGATTCAAAGCACATTACGGCATGCATTCAACAATTGTATGTGAACCGAATTAGTTGCAAAAACATGTTTCCCTGTCTCAGCACATGAAGTAGCACAAAAAAGATGGCATTCACAAAACTGTCAAGTCCAATGAATATTACTTTCGATATATGTAAGCACTATTCTTATCATCTACGATCCAACAAATGCTTCAACATGATCTTTCTGCAGAGGACGATACTTCAATTTTCATTGGCAAGATATGGGCCCAGAGGGAAAGAGGCAATCTCACGAACAGGGGTATACTCAACTACTGAAATCTCTGTTGCATATCCGCTAACCGAAAGCTTCTGATCACGTAAAACAGTAAATGCCTCAACGATGCGAGTCTTTTCCACTTCTTCAGCCACAGGACAATAAGGAATCCATCTATCCGGACGGTACTCATCCTCAATTTCAACACCTTCTTTCTTCAAGATATCAAACAACTGCGAATGAAATTGAAGAAGAGACAAAGACGGAGTCGGACCAAGAAACAAAACGTTATTGTCGGAAGGCAGGCTTCCAATTGAAGAGAAGGACAATGATATGGGTTCTTGCTTTGCAGCAAAGCTTTTTAGAATGTTCTCCAGCTTAGTGATTTCTACAAAAGGGATAGTAAACAAATTAACATGAGGCCTTGATCCAATCTCGATTAAATGAGTACTAATATGTCGCCGAGCCAACACATTCCAGGCCTTCAAAACCTGGTTCTCAAGCGCAGGATCAAAGTTCAGCTCAATCACATAGTATTCCGACATTATCTCTCCCTTTCCTTCCAAAGAAACAAACTGTTGAAGAAAAGAAATCACAGAATGAGCAGCAAATACCAAGAATTGTGACGCAACAAGCCATGAAAATTAAAAGAAATCAAATACAGAGTGAAGGATAAACGCATACACAAGACCCATACAGTATTCTAACAAGAAATCAATGATAATTCAAGGAAACCGAGCCAATTTACCAATTCTCAAAATCAGAAATTCCCAAAACCCTAAACCGAACCTAGAACACAAAATTGGAAATAAATAGAAGTTAGGAAACAACAGAAAGCTTAATTGCTCATACGAACAACGGATATAGAACAAAGTAATTCCAAGATTTATCAAACAAATCACTCACTGAAATGCATACTACAGGCTAAAAACTCAAAACTATTAAGCATGGAATACTTATGCAATGCATCGAATAAACAATATATTTCTTAGAAATTACCAACTCAACACTCCAACAGCTGCTCCTGCCGGAATCAATCGACGCGTTCACGAACTCCAACTGCTTTCACAGAGGCATAAACTTTTCTTGGTAAAGAAACGATCAACTTCACCTTCGAAGAGAACCAAAAATTTGTAAAATTTATACTCTTGACTCCACATTTCTTCTAAGTTATAAAAGGACCCACAAACTATCTAATATTTGCATTTCCCAACAGTATTTTGGGAAACTACCCGGCACGTGGTCGTTTGTGTTCTTAACCGCTGTTTATACATTTTTTAAAATTCTTAAATAGGATCCCGCAAACCAAATATTTTAATTAAAATGAGATGAAGGATATATTAATTATGTACAAATATAAATTTTATTTATTTATACAATATACTTCCTCTGTCCCACCATAGATAATTCTTTTTTTTTTTTTTAAGTATGTTCCAGATTATCCTAATAAGTTTATCAATTTTAAACATATTTAATAAATATAAATCAATTTAATTAAATTTATAACATCTTATAGGACACACTCAAAACTCATTTATATTTATCTCTCTCCTTAATTAACAAATATTTTTATCTACCTTTATAACTTCTCATTTTTTATAAAAACTAATTTATGGTAATGATAAATAAATAACTATATTTTTTTATTCATTTGTATTATATAAAATTTTATTGTCTACAAAATGATATCCATATTACATATATTTTATTGAGATATAATTCTAACAATATTTAAGATACCAACAACACTGCACATATAAAAAATAATAAAATATTATCATAACTTATTATTAATAACTTAATAACCTACATTACCTAAAATACCGTGTCTCTAACAAAATAACTCATCTTTCACGGGACGAAAAAAAGTATAATATAGTGGCCTTTATAGTGTTAGAGTTTCAAAATTCAGTAACTATGTATAACAATGATATTTGTTATTTTTATATTTTATCAGTTTACATAATCATGTTTTCGGTAAATGATTGTGTTTGAGAAAAAGGTTTTTGATAAACTTTTAGCTTTTTTCTTTAATTGTTTGACCGTAAAAAAAAAAAAAAAAAAAAAAAAAAATTATTCAAAGAGTTTTTTTATCAAAAAAAAATATATATATAATTTCTGAAAAGTTAATTTACCCGATATTTTAGAAAAACTTTTTTATTTTAATTTCTTTTATTCATTATTTACCCTTAAAAATTACTTTGTCCGTCCCATATAATTTGGATGTATTAATGTACATGCGAGAATTTAGGTAAAGTATAATTAATAAGTAATTAGTGAGTGTATTAGTAAAAATAATTATAAATTAAAATTAAGATAATAAAATAGTTTAATTAAGATTAAAAAATTATAAAAATTAAAATGTAATTAAAATGTATAATTATATTTTCAAAAAAGGAAATGACAAATTATGTGAGACGAAAGAAAATAAAAAATATAGACAAATTATGTGGGACGAAAAAAATAGAAAATATTGACAAATTACGTAGGACGGAGAGAGTATTTATTTATTTCATACATATAATTATATTTTTATTGAAGTATTTATTAATTATTTTAATATATTCAATTTACTACATTATAATTTTATTTTTGTAAATTTAAAATAATTACTGTGATTAATTATTACACATAAATAATTTTATTTGTAAAATATATAAATCTATTAAAATTAAATCAAATAAAAAAGATAAATATTATTAATTTTTTATTATATAAGTTTTTCATTAAAATTTAATAAATAATAATTAACATAATAAAAATATAAATACAAAATATTTATTATTTTATAGTTTACATAATTTCAATAAAAAATTATTATTGTTCTTTAATTAGAATATTTTTCTCAAATCTAAAAACTGAAAATAAATATGTTATAATATTTTTATAATTTTCAATTATTAACAAAAGTAATTTTAAAATTTTTTAAATCAAAATGAATAAAACTAAATATCATAAAAAATAACATATAAATGTCTTTGATTGTCATTTTACGTATAAACCGCTAATAGCAAACAATTGTTTTACTAAACACTTTAATATAAATCAATTAGTCAAACTAGCTAATTGAATCAGTTAATAATTAAAAGTTTTCAGCTAATTGTCAAATGCACCTTCAATATTCCTATGTTTTGGATATTTATATCATTTTTCCCTCAAACCTACATATAATTTATTTATAATAAATAATTTTATTTACTCACAATTTTATTATTCCATTTTAACAAATTAATAATCAATTTTTCATTATTTTTTTCCAACTTATCATACTATTTTCTTTTATCAGATTTTTAATAATTTTTTCATAATATACCATTTTAGGGTGTATTTACGATTTTAGTTTTGAATTTTGATTTTGAATAGTAAAATTTTTTGAATTAAAATAGTTGTTTGATATGATATAAATGTGTGTTGATATGATGTTTTAAATGTAAAATTAGATTTTAGTGTAATAAAATAAATAAAAATTGGATATTTAATTTGATATTTTTGAAGAAAAAAAAATTAAAATAGTAAAATTAGAAGTAAAACCTCACAATTAAAATTTTTTACATGTTCCACATTTATATTAAAAAAAAAATTATTTTAAATTTTCGTGCTCAAACAAAATAGTATAAAAATTCAAATAGTATATTTTATCAAAATATAATTTTAAAATTTTTCAAATATTGCTTTAATCAAATATATATTTCATTTCATTATTCAAATAAAAATAGTATATTTTATCAAAATATTATTTTTAAAATTTTTAAATATTACTTTAATCAAATATATATTTCATTTCATTATTAGTTAAACAAGTATTTTATTTCATCTAAATTTTGTACCATCAACAAAGACATTGGTGCCTGTGTTTCTTTTTGTTAGGGTTTGCTTAAGATTTTTTATTATTCACTATTATTTTTTTTAATACTCCTCTGTTCAACCAGAACTATATAGTTGCTTTAGATTAAAATACTCTATTCTGTCCAACCAAAAATATACATTTACTCGGCGCATAAATTAGCAAATAATAGTATTTTAATTATAGTGTGTAGGTAAAAGTAGTGTAATAATATTTTTGTCTTTATTTTTTTTTTGTATAAAAGTAATGATGTGATGTAAAGTAGGGGTATTTGTGAAAAAAAAAAGGTGGGATATTTAATTAAATAGTTATCTGATAATTAAACGTCCCAAAATAAAAATACATATATTTTCTAGTTAGACGGAAAAAATAATATTTAAAATTTTAAAAAATCATTCACTATTGTATTTAATATTAAAAATAATTTTATATTTGTATATTAACAAAGTATTAAAAATACTATTACTAATGAAGAGAGTATTAAAAATTAATTTTTTAATTTTTTATTTTTTTACATAAAAAATAATTTTAGATTTAAAATATGCATGAACACTTATTTTTATTACGTCAAATAATTAGTTTAATTAAAAGCTCTCAAATTTCAAATTTCAAATTTCAAACACTTACATCCTTGGACAATCTCAAATCGAATACTTTGTTTTCTCCAAAATTTCTCTAAAATTTTTATTGCACTCTATTTTTTTTTTTCTAAAAAATATTTCATATATATTCTTTGATTTAAAAATTTACATAACTTTTATTTATTTATACTTCTTTCATTCCGGTGCAAGATTGTCGTTTACTTTTTGCATGTAGATTTTTGAATATTAGTATTATAATGAGTTGTAGTAAAAAAGACGAAAATGCCCCTATTAGTATTGTGTAATATAAAAGTAATAACATTTGTATAATATAGCGTAAGTTGGAAGGATATTTATTATGTTAGGTAAATAGTACAATTATTAAATTAGGAAATAGTAACCCTGTTTTGGGATGGACAAAAATAAAAAATAACAACCTTACAATGGGACGGAGAATGTATATTAGTTCCAAAAATATTTGTTTTATAAATTCAAATTATACAATTCTAAAATTTTTTAACGACAATAATAATAATATAATAATAATAAATTCATACAAACCAAATCCCCACTTATTAAAATAATACAAAAAATAAAAAATAAATTTAAAAGAAATATATAACAAGAAATAAAACAAAAGACTTTACAAAACTCTTCCTAAAAAAATGGAGGAAGCTATTTAAAATTCTTCTATTTATAGGGTAATTCCATAAATGGGCTCTGTTAGAGATGTCCTTATAATTTGGATATGAATTTAAAAATTAAAAATAATATTGTTAGCATATTTTTGTACGTTGTTATATGGGCTCAGATATATATTTATATATATATATATATCAACATTGTAATTTTCTTTTTGGTTAATAATATAATTTTTATTTTCGCAGATATTATAATATAGTATCAGAACCAAATTAGGGTTTATTTTGTTCCAACCGTGCCTCGGCCTCCTGTTTCGATTTTCGACGTTCTGGGATGGTTGGTTTTGACATCTATTTCGAATTTATTTTGTGATTGTTACTAGGTTGGCTTACTCAGTCTGATTTTATGTACAATTTTTTTGCGCGCTATACTATTTTTTTTATCTTCTCGCTTCATAATATGACTTTTAATATGGATCGTGTGGACGCTTTTTAGATTACTTTTCTTCTTTCTGGTGATAATTATGATTTGCGGGCCAAATCTATGAAAAAGCTTCTTGATTGGTAAAAGATTATGTCGCTATGTTACTGACGACTTTCCTGCACCGGTTGCTCCTCTTGTCACTTTTGCGGTGCCCCTCACCAATAATGAACTCATGGATTATCGGAATGCTTTGGATGATTGGGATGATAAGAATCACATTATTCTTACTTGGATTCGGAATGCCTCTTCCAAGTCCATTCAGATTCAAGTATGCCGCATGGACACTGCCAAGAAAGCTCGGGATTATTTGTAGCATCGATAACAGGCCACTGGGGCTATGTATTATTATCAGCTTATCGGGTCGTTGAATGTGCTGACATATGAATCGAGAGTCAGGATATGAATGAGTTCCTTTCTACTATACAACCTATGTGGGATCGCATTGATGAAACATATATACAGATTTAGCATTTTCAGTTGATTCAGCTCTTGATGAAGCTTGGTTTAGAATATAAATTTGTGTGTGCTTCTTTACTTCATCATCATCCCTTGCCTTCCTTGGAGACAATGATGAAGGTGATTTTGTTTGAGGACACTCGTCC